AGGTTATCGAGTGGCAGCCTCGTACTGGCCATCGCAGTGTGGGACGACCCCCCACTAGATGGAGTGACGACCAGTGCAAATGTGCGGAAAGTCGATGGATGCAGTTGGCTCAGGATCATACTTCGTGGCAGTCTATGGGGGAGGCCTATGTTCAGCAGTGGACTCAAACAGGCTGAAACGATGATATTTAAAACTCCAATGTTGTCGAAATTTAGATAAGATACTGCTAGTTTTGGATTCTGCAATTATTAACAATCATGTACCACATGAGAAAAATAGGTATTCAACTCATTTGCTGTTATTTTCCATACAAAAATACTATACAAATCATGAATACAAAAAAGTTACTAAAACTCCAATAGTGTTCATTAAAGTTCCACTACTAAGCGGATTGGTGTTGCTGATACTATTAGTTTTTTAATTTTCTCACCTTTTATTTGTTTGTATGCCCATATTTATCCCGAGTAAAGTTAAATATTTATGCAGTAGAACAATAACATGCGAGTTAAACAGATATAAGAACCTTGACCTAAAATCTGAACGTTATAATTTTATAACAACAACAAATACTAAAAAAAACCGTGTGAGAAAATATTTAAGTGTGGGGCTCGCATAAAACACATTTTTTTGCCATTTTATACATAATGGTAGGGAACCCTTCTTGTCGAATCCAACTCGCAGTTGTGCACGGTTGTTTCAAAGTGCAATGCTGCAACAAACGACCAATATCGACATATCGGTCTTCGTGTACGAACAGCCACATTCAGACCGGTTCTCGTTAAAAATTGAATCCCCCGTGCCACAATGCTCGTACGACCGCTCTCGGCTGTTGATCCTTACGCGGGGCTCAATAATAAAAACACACAAGAAAAAAACCGGCCTCAAGTGGCAAGCTCCAATTAAGTAACTACAAGCCGGTGGAACAAACAAATCTCTATCGAAGTAACTAGAAATGTCGGTTGTATTAACTAACTGATTGTATAGGACTCTCCACGGGATAAGTTTAGTACGCTCACAATTCATTTCTTTCAAGTTCAAACAATATATTTTTTATGTTAAAAGATGTCAAGGTAGCTGCGGGTTCACATGATGTTAAGTGATAACGCCGCCCATTGTCATTCGCACCACCCCTAGGGTTGCAGATGAGTTGCCACCTTTTAATAAAGTGGGCCCCGGCACCCTCAAGCGTTAACGTTAAGTTTCGGTAACTTGTCTGAGCGTTAACTTTCAATATTTTACTATGAAGGAATGGGCAGGTCCGTCCGAGAAAGTACCACCACCTTACAGAAGACCGGCGTGAAGTAGAAGTGTTATACTTCTGCGTTTCGTCTGGTGAGTAAAGTAACTGGGGCCCACCTTATTATAAGTCCATGGGCGGCGGTTATTACTTAATATCAGGTGAACCGCCAGCTCGTTTGCAACTTTGTCTCATAAAAAAATGCTAGCATGCTTTTCAATGTTACAATCGTGTGGATTTTTGACACTGCAATATTGTTTTGTGTAGTAGCACTATTACATTTAGCAGTAATTGCTTAGTGGTCTGGGCCAGGTCCAGACCACTAAGCAGGTGCAATGCTGAATATTTGTTTTCGACTCTCTCTACTACATTATGCATAAATTATACATATAAACCTTCCTCTTGAATCACTCTATCTATTAAAGAAAACCGCATCAAAATCCATAGTAGTTTTAAAGATATAAAGATTAATCATATACAGCGTGTCTTTACAATCGCGACAATAAATGAACACATATTAGGCGATAACTTTTTAAAATTGTATTAAACATTTACATTCTTTAAACATCAATATTTACAGAGTTACAGAATTTTCCAAAACAAAGAATTTTAGAACACCTTACGTATAAAACTGTAGCGTAAAGTTCATTTGTAAAGGTCACAAAGCATAATATGAATGGGTTGAATGAATTTAAAAGAGACAAAACATACTGTTAGAAGGGCAGGCCTGTAATGCAACGAATAAAAAGGTCTCTGAATGTATGAACCAGTCATTTGTAGTTGTATAGGATGTTACAAATTTTATTTCTTTTTTACTTAATTAGTTTGTTTTAAATTTTTTTTACGTTAATATTTTTTTATGATTATTGGCAAGTAGCGTTGGACGTGTGTTCATTTATTGTCGCGGTGGTAACGACATCCCCCCAATTATCATCCCCCTGCCCTTATCCCACCTAGGTGCGGTCGGCACCACATGTGAATGATGTTGTAAGTGGTTTTGGCTATTTTTCGAACCCACGACCCCAGACATCGAAGTCAATAGCTTGGCGCCACCGAGTCATGAAATAAAATATCTTTATTCACATAGACGCTTGTGCGTTCTTATGAAACGTCGAAATTTTACAAGGAAATTTACACGTTCGTAAGTTACCACCGGTTCGGAGAGCAGTTTCTGTTGAGAAGAAACCGGCAAGAAACTCAACAGTTGTTCTTTTTTAAAAGGTCAGTTTACAATATAATGGTACAAGTTAGTGATGTAACGAACGTCATTTTTGGACATTCGCGAATGCGAATGCGAATACGAATATTCAGTTTTTGTTTACCTATACTACAGGTGTAACAAATCTTGTATTAGCCTACGTGAGTATCAACAGTATTAACTCCACACATTGGCGTCGTTAAGATATTCCGCAATAGTATAACATGTGATTTAATATTGAAGATAACTTAAAAATATTAAAGACTAGCTTTTCGCCCGCGGCTTCGCTCGCGCTGAAGCTCTTAAATAAAGCCTATGAAAAATAGCCTATTTCCTTTCTCGGGCTCTAGACTATCTGTGTACCAAATTTAATTTAAATCGATTCAGTAGTTTTGGCCTGAAAGCGAGACAGACAGACAGAGTTACTTTCGCATTTATAATATTGGTATGGATATCTGGTATGATATAATTCGATATCAAAATTACGGTAATCACGTTTTATGTGTCCAATAGTCCTTTCTCCTATGGATGCCAGCTGTCCCTGGTGTCCACCCGTTTAATTCTTCTTTCTCTTTGATTTATTCAATGTTAAAAATTTAATGTTATGTTCATCATGTTTTATGATATTAAAACTATATAATGCAAATCAAAATAATTTTAATAAGGAAGCGTAACCTCAAATATATATATTTGTGAAAATGCTTATAAGTAGTCGGCAATGATGTAAAAAGTTTATTATTGACGTTAATTAAATATATATGTGTTTTGTTTTCGAATTTCATTTATAGGAATATTTACAACGTTCGTGTTTATCAATAAACAGTTTTTATACAGATTCATTATATTATCCAAAATAAGCTTAAAAAACTTCAAACCGTAAATACGGAAGGAAGATTGAATAAAAATATCAGAACACGTTTTGATTCAAAACATTTTCAAACAACTGATGGCGTAATTGAGTTTTTTTTTTTTTTTCGTTAATTAATTCCACGAAAGTAGGTCATTGAATTTCCTGTCTTTTTACTAACTTCTCATAAATATCTGCTCTATATATTGATTAATGGGCTCTCATTACATAATTATTAATAAACGTAGTTTGTAACAGCATGAACACGTAAAGTGGTGTTTAGATTTTTTTATGAAAAAAATACCAAAATCGTAATTTTTTATTATATAAAACGGCAGCATATCATGTTTTGCTGGCAGTTTTAATCAGACTGAGCCACAGTAATGAGTATAACGAGTGGGCGGGTGCAGCTAGTCTTTACATAGTATCAAATAAAGGCGCTTCCCACCGTCTGTCCCTCTGTATGCCTAGATCTTTTAAACTACGTAATGGATTTTATTCGGTTTTCACAAACAGATGATGGCGCTGTATACCGGATATGACGTTATCTTCTCGAGCCAAGGGACACATGGTCGCATGGAGCAGTGGTCACTGGGATTTCGGCTGCGTTCCCGGACGGTGATATAACCACTAGTGCTGCTTGTCGTTATAATAGTTGTTCATATTCAAGTTCAGTAATAGTTAAAACATTAGGTAAAAAAGTTAGAACTCTTTATACAGATACCTATGGTAATTGAAGAGAAAGATTTATTCGAATGGATTAATATTGTTTCGTGTTAATTTACGGAACTACGACGATATTGTTCAACATCTCGGAAGAAATTAAGCCAACTGACAGCTTTCATCAAAAATGCTGTCTAATTCTTTTGATGTAAATACAACAAAATAAAGTAAATGATGAAATTGTTCTTCTTTATTAGTATCACAAAAGAGTATTTAACGGATACGATAGTATGCATTGCAATAGTTGCATTTATAAACGTAACGCAACTTAAAATTTTAAACTATCGCAAATCAAAACTTAGCGGTCCGCGCCGGTATTACCCGGCGGCAGCGACGCACGGAGGTGGCGGGACGTTGCGTCATAAATCATAATAGTAATATAAAATATTTTTTACCACTACACGCTGACACCACATTAGTATTTAAATTGCACCCATGCGAAGCCAAGAATACAATTTGACTGTCACGGTCAGAAGAGAAAAGTTCAATCATAAAATTCACTTAAATCATTACTATCTACTATATCTATGTAAACTAGTTATTTTGTTCTCTTTTTTTTTTATAGTCTTTTTTTATTTTTAAAAAGATTTTTCTATTCTATTCTATAAAATTATGTATCACTAGCGGCTTCGTTCGCGTTGAAGCCCTTTAATAAATATCTTTTTTTTTTTTAACTAAAAGAAACCTATGTCCTTTTTAATACCCCTCAGAATATGTGGACGTGTAAGGTTGCATAATAATCGGTTAAGTAGTTTTGGCGTGAAAGCGTAACCAACAAACATTTACATTAGCTTACCTTTTGTACATTACTTATATGTCTATTTTTTTGTATCCTGTGTTTTATGTACAATAAATAAATAAATATATAAATAAAATAAAAAAAAATTATACATTAAGCATAATGATTTGTGTCCGTCGATCACAAATGTTTAATACAAATGTGCACCATATAAAAAATAATAGAGATACATGTAATAGACAACAGGCGTACTCACTTTTGAGCGCCCATCGCTTGTTCTGCAGCAATCCGTCCAGGAACTTGGTGCCTTGCTCCCTGCATGCTTTCTCTTTAACGTTACCAACGGCCGTCGTTAGGGACAGCAAGTCACTGGCTAACACGACCGACGACGCGTAATCCGGCGACTCCTCAATCGACTTCAGCACGGGACGCCCCACAGCGGGAATCGCCGCATTCGTGATATAAGAGAAGTCCGCGATCCTCCCCGCTTGGCTGCTTACGCTCTTGGCTCTTGCAGACAGCCTGGCCAGCGCATCGGTGTCCAGGCCGAGCGCGGCTGCGGTAGTGTTCAAAATATCCGAGCGCTTGATGCCCGTGCTTCCAGGGCTGTCAGGCAGCGGAATGATACGCCTCAGGACCTGCTCCGTTATGTTCGCCCTGTTGAGGCCGATAGCCTGGACCGCACACGCGATCGTGAGGAGCACCCCTAGAGAGATCATTGCGGCGCGGAGCGTGCGCGTGCGGCGGCCCCCAACACCAACTGAGGCCTTTGGGCGACGATCAATGAAACGTAGTGACTTAAAACGCCGTCTGCATACCACTCGGGATCATTTCGCTATTGGAATTGCTTCATTGTTCGCGGTGTCACGTTTAAAAGCGTCCAATTAACGAATGTTTGTAACGTATTTAACATTATTCAGTATTATTAGTAACAGTCGGTTTGCATTCGCGGTTAAAATTTATGCTGCTACATAACTTCATATTTTATTGTTTTAACAAATTTAAAAGCTTAATAATTGACTTAATAAAAAGTTACTGCAGCTCTTTATGGTCACGTATGTATATTGTTTCAATATACATTACCTATTACTATCTCACGATTTACTATAAAGTTTGAGTCGTGTCTCACGCTGCATGGAACTTAACCATCACATAATAGTATCATGTACATTTTACAAGTAGCTTCTAAAATAATTAAGACACAAAAGTCGTTGGCCGTCACAATCATTTTTTGTTTTTGCCCACTAAAGGCAACATATATACCAAAACGATGTGAAAATTAATTTTCAAATCTTTACGAGGTTTAAAATTCATCTAACAGGTATATTTGTTGCTATTAACTTTTCACTTTACCACGTTTTATAATCGATATAATATGTGTATCGTGGTTAGAATGTTACTCAGTCAAATGTTATCCAGTCAAAGCGATTATCACATTAGAAAGTCTACGGTAATAATCGCTTGTGACGTAATGGGTTTTATTGTGAGGGAAAAAAGATTACATTTTAAAAATAAAAATGTATTAAGTTTCCGAATATACAATCCGATTTGGCTTTGATTAATGCTTGTATTTTTCTAGCTTTTATCTCGTATAAGATTTTTAAAATCACTATTTTTATCCAACGTTAACTTTTAAACAAATCAATCAGATTTTTTGTCACTTTCGGCAGACAGCTTAAAAACGTATGCTTATAGCCTGAGTAACATTAAGAAACACTCAAACACTCTTATGGGTTCGCTTTACAGTTCGCAACTTAGAGTAAGTGCATTATATAAAATACTAAGTGTTTCGTACTTTTTCAAACTTATTTTAAACCATTTGTTTATTTGTCATCCTTAGAAAAAGATTACGGAGATGTATATATATTATTATATTTTTCACTTATATTTTTCACATACCACCGTGCTTGTTTACGTACCAAATATAATACACATTTTGTATTTTTATTTAAGCCGTGCTAGCTTACTGTCCGGACGGTCGCTTTTAATTCAATATACTCGGGCAACCTGAGTTCGATCCCTGGTGCTGGCACAAATGAAATTGTTAATTTTAATTGCTGACTTATCACGTGCTCAGCGGTGAAGGAAACATCGTATTGGACCTGCATATTTTCGAAATAATAAGAAAAAAGTTATGTGAAGTCTGCCATTTCGCAGTGGGGTCGCCTGGTGGTCTATGCTCTAATACGTAGTCCCCTTTGCCCAGTATTGGGACATATAAAGGCACTTACTTTACTTTTCACTTTATTAATTAAATTAAAATTCTATGTCTATTCAAGTATAGATACGTATTGATTTGCGTATTTATCTTATTACTCTTGTAACTACACAACAAAAAATTACAAATAAAACAATCTTAAATCTTAAAGTAACAACTTTTATTATCTGCTCAAATCGTTTGTCACAAATAAAATTAAGTATCGTATCGCATTAAATTTAATTAAACATCATTTCTCTATGGAGTATTTATAATTCTGAGCCCCGCTTCGTCCATTTCCATTTCCTGTCAATTCCCAATCATCAAGGTCCCTGTCGCTATTCTGAGATAGCGATCTTGCTACAGATTCGTCCGCTCTATTTGCCCAAAAATCTTCATTTCCAACCTGCTCTTCTTCAATTATTTCTAATTCTTCTCCGTCTCCATGTTCACTGCCATCTTTAGCATCCTCTTCATTTTCTTCTTCTTCCAATATCTCCTCCAAACCATCGTGGAAATCTCTTTGGTGCTCATATTCTATATCCACTTCTGGGATTTCTTCAAGAACTTCTCTATGAGCTATTAAAGTTTGTCTATTTCTAACCTTTGGAAGTTCCATTACTTTTTCATTCTTTCTAGGGCTCTCTGGTTGCTTTTTAACTTTTTCCGCTTCTAAGACATCAGTTTTTGATTTGGATAGAGACATAAGGATTTTTGGGAGAGATTGCATTGGAGTAACAAAGGTTAATGTGAGTAATACCGATGTTAATAATATCATTGATATTTCTTGAACATCGATCTAAAAATGTAAATGATTGTTAGTATAAACAGAATCTATTATATAACAGAAGAAAATAAATATTTAGAATTTTTAATCCACATGTCACATGTCCTTCAATTTTCTTTTTACGTTTAATTCCTTAACAGAAAGTTGATGAATAATCAAATAAATTTAATTAACATAAGATTATTGTTAAAAGAGATGACTCAATAGCATAATAGTTAAGCTATTGGCTTAGACACTTTGAACCGTGGGTTGTATTCCCACAGGGTACAAGTATTTGATGCCCATATTTCGAAGTCCGTGGCGCAGTTCCCAAGGCATTGCCTTCGGTGCCGGAGGTAGTGGGTTCGATTCCCACACGGGACAACTATTTGCGTGACCCACAGATATTTGTTTTGGATATGGGTGTCTGTCCAAGTGAAATTTATATTTATAAAACTTCCTTACAACACAGGATAATGTTATTCTACATTAAGGGCAATGTTGAATAAGTAATTGATTTGTGCTACCCAAGGATAGTTCACGAACTGGGTGTGTTTGTCCCCAAATAGGGTTGGTGCCGGTCGTAAAAAACATAGCCCCAATACCATTAACTGCATAATTCACATACTGTGCCAACCCCACACATGTGGGATAGTGAGAGGAAAAGAAGATTAGTCTTTATAAAGAGAAAAAATCCTTGGAAATTAAATTCTATAATAGACTCACCAAAGACATTAAAGTAAACTCTCTAGACGTCTTAACTGTGGCCGCATGTGTCAGAAACACGATAAACTGACAGAGATAAAGGGCATATGAAAGGCGACTTATAAGAGCTAACGGACGACTGCAAAGAATATTTTGTAGAAAATCTGGAAGAAATTGAAATACTTTAATATTTTACAGGCTCCTGAGAGAATCCTAACACAATACAATACCTACAAACATTTGTCGTGACGTATTAGTGATCTTTGTTGTTATGTTGAAAAAGTCTATCCATTTTTGATAATCTATTGTATTTACGCGATTACACATTACTAAATGAAACTATTACGGATGTATCGTTTATTTTAACTTTATTTCCCGACGTTTCGAACACATTTCAGCGTCCGTGGTGACGGAACAGAACTAAACAGGACTTCTAAAATATGAAACTAAACGATATAAATCCGTTTTAAAATTAGTTTCAGCTAGTCTATTCAATATACTCATTTCATAAAAGTTATGAGTATTAAGTAAGCCCGATGAAAGCAGTAGTTAGCCTCAGGAGTCGAAGCCGGCCTTTATATGTGACGCTTGTACAGCGTATATTTATAAAAATAATGTGTTCGGTAAAAAAAAATATGATATGTATTCATTTACGCCTACGTCAATTTTGCTAATAATAAAAATATCTGATACTGCTCATATGGTTAGTGAAAAGTTACCATTCATAAAACCTGATCTGCTTGTAAAAACTAACCAACTATAAACGTTTTATTTATTATATAGAGTCAGTTTATAGCAAATTCAAAGTAATCATGCCAAGCGATTCAACCGAAACAATTATAACGTGACCGCCGATTGTTTTCGGTGCAAATGGCTTCGGTAAAATCGCTAACCGGATTTAGCTCCAATCAGTTGTTACATACTCACCACAGTGACCGCTGTGCACTGCATATATTAACCATGCGATTGCCAAAGAGGACGAGATCGGTGCCAAAGCGGCGTACTGAGCGGCGAACGTCGCATTATATCTGTACTGAGCCGAGCCTGAATCTAAGCCAGCCCACCACACGAGCGACCACAATACGCCACTGACCAACCAGCCGAATGCTATTAGTACCTGCAGCAATAGAACGATGCATCGTCAGTAGTATTAGAGTACATTATATACATAATTACAAACATTCCTTTTTGTACGATCTCAAATCAAAGCATGATTTTTAATTACGATATAAAAATATTTAAATCCAATAATAATCTCATACTTCTTATATTACAAACATTTAGACAATTCAACATAGTGCGCATATATTGAAAGTAGCAGTTAACTTTGTGAGTGGAAATCAGCGTTTACTCATTTAGAATGTTTAATAATATATATAAAAATTCATATGTACTTTTATTTACATTTCACTGCAAAATAGTATTAGCAACTGGAGGCTCCTCGAAGGAGGAGTATAGCGACAACACGCTTGGCGTCTTGCCTGATCTGATGTGGTTTCGGAGATATACATTAGTTCATACGTCATTTAACTCAACAGAGGAGATTAAGACACTCGTACCGCATGCTGACTATTGTTAATATACTAAAACTATGTCGGCACGTCTCATTCCTGTTCATTAATCTGATATGTAAATAATTAGATTGATTTGATTTCCCACTTTTTATTTATTTTAAAGATTTAGAATACGAAGGGATTACTTAAAACATATACAATAATTCGAAAATGAAAAGAAAAAGGAAAAAATTATAATTTAAAATATAAAAATAATTAGGTATTTTTAAATTGTTTATAGTGGTAATCTTTGCACTTAAGATTGAACATTAAAATATGTAGAAAAAGTGCTAAAAGATTGTCGCCGCTGTGGGAATCGAACCCACGTCTTCGGCATTCGCGGCCTGACGCTCTAGCCACTGAGCCGATTCGATTCCCACAGCGGCGACAATCTTTTCGCACTTTTTCTACATATTTTAATAATTAGGTATATTAATAAATAACAATTTAATTTATTATTTTTATTAATTTAATTTAAATTATAATAAGAAATAATAATTAAAGTATAATTTTTTTATTAAAATAAAAATTGAAGGAAAGAGAATAAAACATAGTTGTCTCTTGTCTCTTGCTGTGCAAAGGCATAGAGAGTGAGTGGTCCGTATAAAACAAGACTATCTCGTAAACATAACAATATCATATGTATTAGTATAATACTGTATTAGGGCCAGGGAACAGTCTACATTGCACATCCATCCGGGGAAGTCCACGACCGGCGTGAAGAAGAAGTGTTATAAATATGCGTATCGGCCGATGAATTAGACAGCCGGAGCGCACTTCATTGAATGGTGGAAACGCATCTGTAACCCTATTGGTGTTGCAATTGTCCATGGGAGGCGGTTATCACTTAACATTAGGTAAAACAAAAAGAAAGTGCAACATATTAACGCATTCAACGAGCTCAACAACTATAAACAAGCAAATTCTTGGTAAATAAACGGTTTTAACTGCCTTAGTAGTTTATTGTTAAGATGTCGAAACACATACCTTTTGAAGATTTATTACTTACGGTTTAAACATAACTGAAAGGACTTACTTTGCTGTGATTCGTTTTGCTCTTGAGAGCCAAGCCCAGGCTTAGCCCGACCAAGTATGGAGTGGAGCGATGGATCACTGACATATAGCTCAGCCTCGCCGTTCTGTACAGCTGGCTTACGCTGAGAATAAAGAGAAAAATGGACGTCATTGTCGTATTCGAGAGAGCAGCCGGGGCGGAAGTAAATCAGGATGCACGCTGGAGCGGACTTTATCGGGCATTTGCTCGTAATACGGAGGTTTTGCCACGTGGAAGGGGCGAATGGGGAGCGACGAAGCGCATTCATAAGACGGAAGGAAGCGGAAATAAGCGGTCGAAATCCTCTACAATAAGTTCATTGTACATTTCTTACGATTTAAGCACTAATTGTGATTATATTACATTATTTGACACTATTACGACTTGTATATTGGGGCTCTTCCTCTCTATTTAAACTTAATCCCCTCCCGTCTTAATTAAAGATTAGTTTCATAGTAAAATTAAGAAATACTTAGTTTAATTACTGTAAAACCAGAGTTACAAGTATTTTTTTTTCTTGTATAGAACACAGATTGCAATATATTCACAGTAAAACAATTAACATGTAAAAACATTTATCAAACACTAACTGAACGATCGCAACGGTATTTTGAAAAATGATCATGAAATTAAAAATTCCATTCCTCGGCCATAACTAATTTTATCTATTATTTTATAGATGTCATGACATTCGAAACTTTTTTGCTATATATTTTTTGATAAGGCATGATAAATTAAAGTGATATATCACTGGCAAAAAAACTATGTAACGGTAATACAAACGAAATATAAAAATATTGTTGTACCCATATTTTCATATAATTTCTATCATTCATTTTTCGTTTTGACCGACGCATGACATTCAATCAATCAATTATCCGACTGTCATTGTTAAAATATTTACAAGGTCTTAACTACTTAACTCAGAACTTAGGTAGTATGCTGATAGTGACTAACATAAATAGATTGAACGACACAAGTTTTCCTCGGTATATAGTTACTTTATAAATGGACATTAAAATCTGGAAATCAGATAAATTACATTCTTCCGGTAACAAATGTAATCCATGTAATCCATGTCTTTCGGTGTTAGACACTCGCAGCAGCCGCGGCTGTTGCGCGAATGGGCAGGCTCGTCCGGGTAAGTTCTTTTTTTTTTATCTTTGAAAAAACATTGCCCTTACTTTAGGAACATTATCCTGTGTTGTAAGGACGTTTTACAAACATAAATTTCACGCGGATAAACACCCAGATACGAAACAACTATCTGTGGGTCACACAAGTAGCTGTCCCGTGTGGGAATCGAAGCCACGACCTCCGACGCCGAAGCCGATACCTTAGCAACTGCACCACGGAGTCGTCGACCGTCACGACCTCACAGAAGACCGGCGTAAAGTGGAAGTATAATACTGTCGTGTTTCGTCCGGTGAGTGAGGTTGCCGGAGCCCAATTTTCAAAATCTTGTCAACGCATCTGCAACCCATGCAATAGCAAATGTCCATGGATGGCGGTATTCACTTAACATCGACCGTTAACGTGAACCGTCTCCTCGCTTTGCAATTTTCACATAAAACATATGACATGTTTTATGTGGAATCATTAAGGAATGTACTTAAATTTAATGTTTACAAACCTTGTAATAATAATTATGTTCAAAAAATAATTATAGGATTGGATAAGAGTTTTAATATTAATAATCTGGCAAGTGAACCTAAATTTAATATTACTTCATTTTCGTTTTTCCGATATCGAGTATAATTTAAGGCCACAGTATACTCTGTTGCACGAATGGGTAGGTCCGTCCGAGGAAGTACCGCGACCTCACAGAAGTAGAAGTGTCACTTCTGCGTTTCGTCTGGTGAGTGAGTTAACCGGGCCCATTCTATTAAAAGCTGACAACACATCTGCAATCCTACAAGTGTAACAAACATCCATGAGCGACGATTAACATTTATCATCGTGTGAACCGCCAACTCGCTTGACTTCTTCGTACATAAAAAAAATTACAAAGGAAATCTAGTCGAATTTGATTCGTGGTCATAAGATTTTTCTTGCCTAAGCCATCTATCACTTTTCCAACTCCACACAGCAGCTATTGTCATTGAGCGAATGGGCAGGCTCTTCCGGGAAATTACCACGGTGTCACAGAAGACCGGCGTGATGAGGAGGCACCAGGGCCCAATTAATAAAGCATGAGCATATTCAGTTCCGAAATAATAAACGAAGAGAGAATACTATTACGAAAACTTCACACGGTATTAATTTTACGATTTCGATTCAACGATTAAGCCTAATTAGGCACACTTGAAAATGTATGCAATCCTAAAATCGTGTTACAGTATGAAGGGATTGTTTGACTGGGGTCAAGACCAGAAGGCTTGAGCTCAGTCGATTCGCGCCGGAAGCACGTCGATGGTGGAAATTTCAATATTAACATTCAACAAAGGCACCAAAGCGAACAAATAAGATCTTTACGCGATATACCGCTGAGTCACTACTACGCTGCCGTCTCAGCGATATCTTCCGCTAAGGCGTGGAGCAACCAAGGCCATCTTTGTGATCGTTCACTTTGAATATAAATCGGCTTACACCGTAACGTTTTCTTTGACGATAGACAAAAAGCGAATGTTTCTCCTTAGTCTACGTAAAAATCGAACAGCTAAAAACACTACGATTATGTATTAACAGCAAATATTTACATTAAACATAAACAAAATTTGTCTTTTTATTTAAACGGACATTCAAAATCAATCTCGCCTGTTTTTATTCAATTTTGTTTTAATTGTTGTTTGTCATGTGTTATTATTTTAAGATTAAGACTACAGAGCAATTATCATATCTTTTTTTGCAAAAATAGCCGTTAAAACCTTAATCAACTGAACATCTGTATGTTACATCTTGCATGTTACAGGCAATTTCAACAATAAGTTAAATTATTTTTTAAATTAGATAATATATAATCTAAAAAACTTAAAGTTGAAATATTTTTTTTCTGCACAATGAAAATGTACAATGAAGTCATGAGTAAGAAAATTAATTTTACCTCTCACAACAAATTATTCAAGATGAGAGATATTTTATATACTGTGTGTCACGAAACAGCTTCGGCTATTGCACTACTGGGCAGGTCTGTCTGGGTAAGTACCACAATCAAGACCAGTATGAATTGGAAGTATCATACTTCTGCGTTTCGTCTGGTGAGTGCGGCAGGCAGGGCCCACTTTATTATAAGATGGCAACGCATCTGCAACCCTACGGGTGTTGCAAATGTCCATAGGCAGTTATCAGTTAACATCAGGTGAACCTCCAGCTCGTTTGTCACTTTTTCACATAACAAAATCCATTGTTTACAGAACTTCTGAAGGGAACGATCATAATCAGATTTCATGAAAGCAAAAGCAAAGTGAATGGCATCAAACATCTCGTCGGTGTTATTTATGTGATGTTTGATGAAAAAATTTCATACCTTCATTTGTTACAAGTTCTATAAATTGGGGGGGGGGGGGGCAATGTGGTCTTCAAATTAAAGTGATATAATTATAGGATTTGACTGGGTTATAGCATTTATCGACGACACCGCTTTTATCACCGTATAGTATTACTTTACATCAGTCGAGATAAAAAAAAGTAAAATAGGTGTAGATGGATATTTCGCGGTTAAAAATGTGTTAACTTTGAGGGGAATACACTGTAGTTGGTAACACAGATCTAAACTGTCACAGGCTAAAAGACTTCTAATCATCATCTTTTTCTACTTTGTTTGTATCCAAAAAACTTATTTTATCTACCGTTACGCGATGATCAACATCATATAATATACGATATGGAGAATGAATCATTGCACTCTTAGTCGTGTTTGCAAGAAGCATAGAGTGCATTTCGAAAGAGTGATTGTTCGGGCAATTTCGCAATCGCGCTATTAGTAGAGCGGTAATATGTAAATCGCGATGTTGAGATTTTTTGTATGTTAATGACCTCAGACAGATTTTGTTTTTTTTTTGTTATCCAGAATAAAGGGGTTTTACAGATTTCGATGTTTTATTTTGTGCTGAGGACATCGTAAGCCCCTGGACCAATCAGTGATGACGTAGTCTCTCAAACTTACTGACCTGACGCCGTGGTAAGCCAACATAGTGAGACGATGATCACGTGCCGTTTTGTATCTGGAGAACGCCGTCCACACGTGTAGGGTTGGCAGGACGGCTTTCAGAACGGGCATATCGGACTGCATTGCCCACACAACGACACCCCCCAAAATTGATAGCTGCATGTCCAACGCTAGCTGGTGCGTTTGGGGTGCGCACTGAAACAATTGTAATACAAGCAGAATGTAATACAAACTGTTACATTCACCTAATAGGTGTCAAAATTGCAACTGATTATAAAATAGTATGCGGGCCATACTATGCATCAACTGGGAATGGTGACGGCTGACGAAACAATTCCAAATTTTGAACTAATCCGGTCAGGTTAATTGACGACGATAAATTGAAATACGGTAAATGAACACTTAAAATATCGTTACACTGAGAATAGAGGCCAGTTTGCTAGAGGACACGAAATTATGTACGGCTAAATATCTTTCAAACTCAGAGTTACTGAAATCACTAAGAATTTTTAGAACGCGTTATTACTTAACAAATAAATGAAGTACGTTTATGAAAAGATAATTTAATTAACATTTATTTCAGTAAATTTCATTCAAATTTCGAAGTAAAACGAAGTCGTGTAAAATTAAAATACGTAATGCTAAATTATTAAGTAGCCGAGTCAATTAAACAAAAGCAATAGAGATAAGGCTAAGTAATAAAAATTAAATCAGCCTAAAGGAATATAAAAATGGCCGGCGGTACAAAACTAACAGCCTTTTCAACTAACTTTTTAACGTAGTTTTGAAAATCTCGAAGCTTATCCAGTGCCATTATGGCTCTTAAGTAATCTTTTCATTATTCCAACAGCAGCATTGGAATAATCCGAACAACTACTTGTGCCAGTTCTGACGCGAACCATAGAGGAATGTAAACGACATCATTACTCGAGTCAACAGATACGCACATATTTTTACAACGGAAATGTTTATGAAATTCCGCAATTTAATTAAAAACCATTTGCTTTGTTCTAGTACTGACTAGAAATAAAACGATGGTATATAGAACAAAAACTCACGAGATATACAGATATCTCGTCAGTTTTTGCTCTCTATTCCTTTTATTCTTCCACTTTTTTATTAAACGCCTGTCCCACTGAGCGATCTTGCTGTACCGCAGTGAGCTTATAAAAATGAAATTACGGACACAGTTCACACCAGTGTGCTGAGATCGAAGCCACAATAGCATCGTAGGACAGACCGTTTAAATCATAACGCGTCGATTTGTAATCAAGAAATGTTGAGTTTAAAGATTATTTTAATTTCCACTACGTACCTATATTATATTTATTATATCACTCATTAGTTATAATGTCTACATTTATTTCCAATTACTTTATAAACGCGCGCACAAGAACATAATTTTAATGAATGCAAATTTTAGTAGATTATTTTTAACTGATCATAATACAGAAACACCCCTTCAGATTAGGTAAAGGACCATCAATTTGGTTCATTAGAAGCAAAGATAGCGTTAGATTTATGAGAAATTCCTCTAGTTCCAGTACCTTACTTAACAGTTCTTAGTTTTCGTATTATTAATAAATTACTTTTATAACATAAACAATGATAATAATGTCGTTTCTGTTTGTTTGGCAAAATAATCTAATCCCATTTCCCTATGAAATGACTGTTGATGTAATATTCAAGGAATTCAAAATTATGATTGATAAATATAAACATAGTAAAAGGATCGAATATGAAGTTTCGCCTCAATCAACAGCAAAATCGCAGTAACAATCAGGTTGACTTATAGGCAAAACCAGCCTCAAAAGAGCAATCTTTTGGGTAACGTCGAGATTCACAATTTTACAACTGGTAATTAGATGGATTCATCATCGCTCTGATAGTGGAAACTTTTAATTTTCCCTCTGTATTTATTATATAATATTTAAATTAAGTGCTACCTGTTTCCGTAAAATTATTAAATAAAATAAAAATAATCATATTTCCAACATCGGTAACTTCTCAACTTATCTGATAACTGCTACTTCTGTCGCCTGATTAATGTTAACATTCATTACATTTTTAAAAACAATTTAAATGTTGTATATGTTACGACCGCAGAGACTCTTGATTGTTTTATCTGACCTTACGTAAAAATTCAAATCTGTGGGATGGTGCACATGTTAAGTCCAAGCCAACAAACAACTTAGATAATTTTGAAAACCAATTTTGATTGGTTATCACATATTTGGAAACATTCTTTATCTTTTAGTTTTCTTCTATCTTATGCAGTTAATAAAATCCATACTTTTCTAAGGATCCTTACTTTTCTTTCTTTCTTTTGGTCCGTCATTGTTGATAATAACGTTTTAAACAAAATTTATAGAATGAAAAACTATAAATAATTATTTTGCCACACGGATTTTTCCACGTTTAATAAAGTGCAAACTTTTTTTTTTTCATCGAACCTAAATAGTAAACTACATTAAAATATATTAAAACTAGCTGACCCGGCAAACTTTGTTTTGCCATATAAATTATTTGTAAGGTAGAAAAATTGTTTGGGGTGGACCACCCTTAACATTTAAGGGGATGAAAAATAGATGTTGTCCGATTCTCCACCCTGGCCGATATTCACAGAAAATTTCACGAAAATTAGTGGAGCCGTTTCGGAGGACTTCAGTTACAAACACCGAGAATTTTATAAATTAGATTTAAACAAAGTTATAACTTAGAACACCTACATATTACCGAAAATTACATTTAAACGTGAACTTATAGACAGACGGTTGTACTGCATTTTTTGTATAGAAAACTCAAGAATTCCACGTCAATTCGTGATAAAGTATAGGCACCTTAACTTTATGTTATATAGAAGTTTATCGTGTGAAATATAGCTTGGGTGTATAAATTAATTCCTCGTTTTGACGTTTCCTTAAGCTTTGACCTGTGGCCTTTACTTCATCAAAGTTATTTATTTTAGTGTACTTTAACGTATTTTTTGTATAATGCCAAAAAATCTACATCTTTTAGGAAACCTTTGAAGAAGAGGACCTGATGCAAATACTTAAAGCTAATCGAAAATATTGCATTTTTCAGACTGTTACAGGCCTTATTGTAAATTCATTTTGAAGACCACGAAATGAAAAAGATCGTTGCACATAATATGACTAGTATTAGTATATTTTAGAAAGGTAAAATAAAGTTACTTAAAACATTACAATAAAGTTATTACAATAAATAAAGTTATTTATAATAGATATTTTATATTAACCATTTCCTCGAAGCCGAAGTAGTTTTGTAGGTAGAGAACGTTCCACCACCAGCCCTCTTTACATTTCTCCGAGTTTTTGGTTACTAGAGTACCCCACATAGGTCCAACCGAGGTTATGTCCCAGACGTAAGCGTAGAACAATATCACCGCCAGCAACGCAGGTGTTAATCTGAAATGATCATTTGTATCAGAAAATCAAAACAAAGGGCCTTTCCTTGTCCGACGACTCAGCAAACGATTCGAGGTAGTGCGACATTAATAAAGATATATATTAGCATAATATTTATGTATTCAACATGCGTATTTGTTTTTCTACGCAATATATAAATTTTTTATCAACAGTTCTTGCAAAATTCACGGTGCGTCAAGAAATCATCAAATTAAGTCATAATGGCTTTCTTAAGTATGCAAAAAATTATGACTGTTATATACATTAATTATTTACATAATCTTTTAAAATTTTGCGATTTTCGTGCTCCAAATAACTATCTCACTTCACAATCGAAAACACTATTATCGAGATATATCAGTCTTTCTATAATAACCCGTACCATAGGACAAGATTAGACAGTTATTGCGAAATCCAGCACTGAGCAAAACTGAGTTAATGTAAACAGAACACAATGTTGCAACAGCATCAGTAATTAAACTTCTTACTGGTAAAAATCTGCATCCACGTTGAAAATAAGATAGGTTTTTTTCTGGCAACAAGTTATTAAAATTAACATAGGCCATTAACCTTGGTAATCGGGGCATTACTAACTACATGTGTCTGGCGTGAAAAATGTTGTAACATAACCAACGTATATAAAAAAAAACTCCGAAGGGTAAAACACAAAGTGCCTGAAAATATTAACTAGCAAAAATACACTAAAACACCTTGCTTAAATATCTTAACAGTTAATCGTGATTTAACAAATTATTAAGTAACTAGCTGACTCGGCAAACGTTGTTTTGCCATATAAATTATTTCTAGAGGAATCGGAACGCGTTCAAAAATCGTTTGACAGGTTGACAGGTACAGTTTGTATGGGAAAATGAAATTGTTGCTATTTCGATTTTCCATGCAATTTTTCTATAATTTCTCATCGATTAAACCTTCCCTGGACTGCCAAGAATATATGAACACTAAAATTAGCCAAATCGGTCCAGCAGTTCTCGAGTTTTAGCGAGACTAACGAACAGCAATCCATTTTTATATATAAGATATATATATATGTATATACATATATATGTAAATATATAGGTATCGAATCACCTCAGATATCTGGATATGATCCTCCTTAGTGCTCCAGAATCACTATCCTTGGATATACGATGAGCAGTGAGCGTCCCGCTAAGTAGGAGGAAGCAGTCAGTGTACATCCAGCCCGCACGGCACCATGACCAAAGTGGCGAGCTCACGACCTGGATCGAGATAAATATACTTATCCGAAATGTCCGTATGAAATAAGACATTTCGGAAGAGCATGCAAAAATACCTTTACAAAACATATTTTATCTCATAGTTCAATACTACTACATTACTCCTTGTTATTGCGTTATTTAAACATATCCATTAAACAATTATCTCTCCTCACTTCATTCTCGCACCTCAATGTTTACGTAACTTCCTTCACTTTATTTAAAAACAATAAAGGGATAATTCTGGTTAATAAAATCATCTTACCTGTTAAGATCGATATTTTTTAGTAATATTTCTATCGTGATAATTCAAGACAACAATCTCTATTTCACATTGGTAATTATAATTAAATTTATCATGGCTTAAAGAATGATTGCTTCTGATTTTCTCTTGTCGATCATTGTTACAAAATAACTAAATTTATTTTCACTACAAAAGATCCGAAAGTTGTTCCATGAAGTTTCTAAAGAAGCTGTTGGCCGCTCCCCGAATTCCAGATTAACTATAAATATTTTATCTGTATCGAACAACGATTGCCGAAGATTCTTTGTTACGACAGGCTTTGATGGAAACAATCAAGAAACCGTCGCCGAATTTTACGATATCGACAGATGTTAGATATGAGAACAGTCCCCAACTTTCGCTCTTCCCTCGGAGTTTAACATAAACAAAAAGTCGAAAGCATTTCGGGTAAACAAAGTTTTCGCGTTGCCAAACGATTTCGCTGCATACACCAGATACGACGAATAACTATCTGGCATCACTCCAAGGTTTACTAGCATAAGCGAGAAGTCTTACGTTATAATCCGACGTTTCAGTCTTATTTATGAGAGGCAGTTACTTCTTTGTTATCAGAATACACCAATTGTGAATAATATAGGTGTATTCATGGCTTTATGTAATCATGTAGGTAGGTACTAGTGATTTCACAGGTAGACTCAGAGCAGGCACTAAACTATGATATAAAAACAAACTTTAATATGGCTTAGATTATTAAATAAATGGTTTTATTCAGTATAATGATCGTTAGGTTATTTTTAATGTGAAATTTCATATAATCAAAAGCTAATTTAGGGAAACATACATTTTAAAACGGACCAGCAATTAATTTATTTGGTATGAACATCACGTACTCTGCGGGAGCCCCTACGCCTTTCTAAAATAATTACAAACTACTTTTATACAAATTCTGGGACAGCTACTAGTAGTAGCTAGTTAATGAGTATCAAAATTTTGTTCAATTTTGTTAAAAATATTTTTTCGCAAGAAGAATTCAGATTAACATTTGATTCAATTAGGCGCCTGAGACAATTGAAAAGCAATAAAATTTAAGTACGTGTTTGCTGCTACCAGTAGGTATATATACCAGTAGGTACTTAATTTATTCATACTTTTCTCAAAATACACTACACAATTATACATGGAATGTGAACCGAAATCATGAATGAAAATAAAATGTGATGATTGTGACGGTCGAATGAACTGAAACTCTGTAGTGTACATGTTTTTCAAGTATGAACAAATGAAATAGCAACCTCGCTTATCTTCACTCGATTCGTATACGGCATGACGGCAACAGGTAAGAACTTGTGAGCAACCAACAGAGCTATGGTAGCAATCGCTCGGACGCCATGAATGCAGGAGATTTCGTCAGAAGTCGCCGGTGCCGTTAACTTGCCGACCGTACGATACAGGGAAAAGGCGCTTATAAGATTTTCACCTGTAAAGAAGAAAAAAAAAATATTTGAAGTGAAACTTCTTTATCGGGGTTGGAAAAAAATTTAGTGTAACATTTTGCGTTACGCGCCATCTTGTTGTTGTGGTTTTAATAGTTGACGCTAGATGGCGTTAGTTCCTTTGTGTGTTCATAACAATATATATATATGTAATATTAAAGTGATCAGCAAAATCAAAGGGTTTATTTTAATTCTAATTCTAAAATGTAAACAATATATTTCGTATTTCAGTTACCATAAGCCATTAATAACACAAATATATAATAACGACATCAAGGATAGTAATAATTCTATTACAATTAATGAAATTCAATTATAATATTTGTAGTAATGACAGTGCTAGCTCTAATACTTCAGAGCACGACACTGTAGAGACTTCCTCTTCTCCAAAGGCAGGCACCGCCCACCGTGACCTGACTGCGCCTTCCACCGAAGACACAATCTGAAGCTGACCGATGATGCTCTTCGAAACCTCGATCGGCTCCTGGAACTTGCGGACCTCGAACCTGGAGGTTGCGACGTCGATCCAACGTCCGCAAGTTCGGTTTTCCAAAAAAACTTCACTCACAACACTCGCGCGCGAGTCGAATGTCTGCCTTCTACTCACTGGCTGACTATTCGGCAACGAAGGACCATGTACAAATTCAATGCGGTTGTATTTTGGGTCCTTGAGGTTAATTGAAATAAACAGGGTTCACGTTGCAAGTTTTTTAATCAACAATTTTTGCGGACCCTCATACTAATTACAACGGTCAAACCATAGTGTGTTTTAATTTATTACTAACGCCACCTATGTATTACAAATAAGAAACTAAATATTATACAAAGCTAAAATGAAATAATTGTAGAATTTGTATTTATGTCTATGATAATAAAAGCCTTTTATTAAACTTTATCTAATTTAATTTTATTTAACCAATTTCTGTAAAGTTGCATATAGTAAATTATTTTTTGAAAAATAACGTCATAAAAAAGTTTCACTTCTTACGAGTGTACGCTAGTACACGCACACTTTTTTTTTATTTAATCAAAGAAGTAACTTATTCAATATATTGACTCACTCGGTAGAAACCCCAATGGGATATCACATCATACAGAAATTCTTTATATGACTTTACAAAAGGTAACGCTGTGTATTCACTTTGTAATAGGTCTTATTAGTATTAATCTCCGATTCATTGTAATTTTAGTCGCAAGACTGATATATAAATACCTCAAAGGCCTCAAAGCCTTTAAATTGATGGCACAGATTAATAATACATCAAGAACGGTTTCGTCCTAAGTTTGAACAATATGTACAGTTTCCCTCCATCGATCGACGAGTGCTTTCAGATTCAATTCATTTTATTCTAACAAGCCTAACTAGGAACAGAGAATTACGAACGTCGAATTATAAGACGGATCAACCGCATCAACATAATGGATGGTGAATTAAAATATTCATCTTTTGTCCGTGACCCCCACTGAACGCAGATTCGCTTTGTTATTCCATTATATAGAATTTGAAAGAATTCGATTCCTGAGAAAGAAAACGGATGAAAAAGCTCATAAATAAACAGGGAAGAATAAAATAAAAATCAAGAAATAAGTCACGCTCAAATTTGACGTGACGCAGAAGTGTCGTCGAGATCAATTTGCATAACAAATTACGGCGTCCGTTGATTTAGAAAAGAAATCGCGTTCGAAACTTATCCGTTCTCTGGCAGCGTCGTCAAATTTGTTTATGAAAACATAAACTTCGTAAAGCAAACGCGAGTGAAAACAAATTTTGAGCGTTTTTTTAATCGTCGTTCGAAATTAGACAGACTAGGTATTTAATAAATATGTAATTAAAAATACAGGTAAGCGGTTTGACTAGCAGAATTTTGTTTGCTTAAGACATTGTTGTTTGGAATGTGACGAAATTTTGCTACACACTTACGAAATGTTTGTCAAAATTATTTTCATGCGTCGTCACTAAATATAGTATTAAACAAAGTCGTCCCGCTGTCTGTCTGTCCCTATAATTATGCTTAGATATTTAAAACTACGCAACGGGTTTTGATGCGGTTTTCTTTTATAGATAGAGTGATTCAAGAGGAAGGTTTGTATATATAATTTATTTATATGTATAATTCATGCATAATATAGTAGAGAAACACTGATAATTTTAGAGGTTTGTAATATTATATTCTTTATTGAACACCAAAAATAAACATGAAAGGAAATGTTACAGAACTATAAACTTAAGAGGTATAAACAATAAGGCGGTCTTATCGCTAAGGAGCGATCTCTTCCAGACAACCTTGTGGTTAAAAATATTTAATTTGGACAACGGTAGGTGGTGTAAATGATAAACTTTACATACTAATATTTAAATAAACTAAACGAATATGTTGTATTTTTGTATAATAATAATATACTAATATATACGAAATAAGATCCAATAGACATACATAAATCTAAACATATACTGTACAATAACTTACAAAAATATATACAGGAAGAAAAGAATAAAAAATAAATATACAAATGTCGTCGGTGATAATCAGCTTGAACACAGTGACAGATAATAATTTTTAACGTCAGTTTTGAACTTGCGTAACGTTTTTGAGCGCTGGATGTGTGGAGGAAGCGCGTTCCATAGGCAAATGGCTTTGACCGTAAAAGAGTTCTTAAAATAATTGGTCCGGAAAGTATGCGGGGTGATAATGAGTTCACTGGCTGATCGCAGAACTCTTTCTGGTCTGTCATGACCAAGAAATTTAAACTGTTCCTTCAAATAACCGGAGTCATAGGATTGAACAAAACACAGTACAGAAGAGAAACAATATGCAGATTCCGGCGAAGGCGGATGGGTAACCACTTGAGCTTTGTACGATATTCGGAGACATGGTCATACTTGCGTAGACCGAAAATAAATCTGATAGCTAAGTTTTGAATTCGCTCAAGCTTGTTAAGTTGGTCCTCGGTTAAATCAAGATAGCTTGCGTCCGCATAATCGAGAAGGGAAAGAAGTAAGGATTGTGCTAACATAATCTTAGTAGGAATGGGGAGAAAAGAACGTAAGCGCCGCAGAGAACCCATGGCTGCAAATGTTTTCCTGCTAACTTCCTTTAACTGGTGAGACCACGAGAAAGTAGAGTCGAAGTGAACACCAAGGTTTTTAACAGTTTTGCTGTATGGCACCACAACACCATTTAATGTTATCGAGGGAAGGTTATCCCAATCTACCTTTGAAATCATGCCAGCTCCGCCAACAATGATGGCCTGGGACTTGCAAGGATTAATCTTAAGACCATAGCTCTTACTCCACTCGCTAATAGCCGCCAGGTCACCATTAATGGCAGTAACAGCAGTGGGCAAATTTTCAAGATTTGAATGTGTGTACAGTTGAAAATCGTCTGCATACATATGGTAGAGAGAAGTAATATTGTGAGAGATTGAATTAATAAAGATAGCAAAGAGTAATGGAGACAACACACCACCTTGAGGCACTCCAGCTCGTAATTCACGCCAGGATGAAAACATACCATCAATGCGAATACGCTGCTGTCGGCCACTAAGATAACTCTGAAACCAGCCGGCCACTGGTGGAGATATGTTAGCAGAACGTAACAGACTCAGCAGAATGTCATGATCAACAGAATTAAATGCATTACTGAAATCCAATAGTACGAATACTGTGAGCTGTCTATTGTCCATACCTCGTCGAATATCGTCAGTAATTTGTAATGTGATTTCGAAAACAAACATTCAGCATTGCACCCTTGCGAAGCCGGGGCGGGTCGTTAGTTAATTATAAAGTAATTAGTTTGAACAAACGCGGGATAAAAAAGAAAAAAAAATGACAAAAAATTTGTTTTCCATTTATACAAAACGGAATAAAAATTTCCACGTCAAATAAATGGTTTTATTTATATTTTTACGCAGTTTTTTTTATTTATTAACTGTTAAGTAGATTTAAATTAAAATACAAATCTCACAAATGATTCATTTTTCTAACACTTGATGAATAAACAAAAAATAATGATAAATTTAAGAAGAAGAAGAAACATTTATTCACGGTCTACTACTTGGGTTCACGGTTCTAATTGGGTACATACAAAACTTTGGAAATAATGTAACTAAACAGTATATAAAATAATACACAGTATATAAAATCATAATGATAATTTATCGTATGATATACTATATGGCCACGATTCCGGAAATTTAAAATGAATTGAAACGTTTGACATTAATAAATGACAAAGTATTCACATCGTTTTGCTAGAAAACAATTTAACAATTTTGTTGCTTTTTTTTGCATTAATGCAAATTTAAGTTAATTTTTTTCTTTCATGTACTTTGGATCCGTGTACATAGGTCACACTTAAAGTTCTTAGAAAATCATAAAACGGCTCAATGTACAAAGTTACCAATATTTCTATTGTTGTTCGAAGCAGTCTACGTTCCTCTCTCTTAGATCGTATACTACTGAGCAAAACAGTGTTTTTCCTTCCGGATCTCTTCTACGGCATTTTCGAACGCACTGACCGCATCTTCAGTGCTCGTAAAGCGAAATGCCTCGAAGTTTGTATTTGAGTCCTTGGAAATAAATGAAAGTCGTAGGTTGGCACTTCGAGTCTATATGGCGGATGCATCCATCTTACAGCACAACTGTCATGAAACGACCATTCCACCCAAAGAAGAAGGAACTCGTATTTTTCCGATTATCATTTCCGATTATCATCGATTATCATAGCAGATTATCATTTGGTTTTGAATTCCTAACAATGTACCAGCTTTCATCACCTGCGACGATGTCTAATACAGCATCAGAGTCATGCGACACCAATCCGTGAGAAGGCGTTTCTGGTCGGTCAAAGTATGAGGAATCAATCTGGTACGAACCTTCCTACGCCTTAAGACGCCTAAATGATCATGAAATTCTTTGTATTTGCAGCAACGACTCATATAAATGTCTGAGGGTGCCCGAATCTGCTGGTAGGTCTTTTCTCTATTATACGTTGCACAGCACTGATGATATCTTCAGATGTCGTTGTTGAAGGACGTCCCTCACGTAAATCATCACAGAGATATCTAAGCCCATGCTTAAACTCATAAAACTAATTGTAAACTGTGGCACGGGATGGGGCTTTATTATTAAATACCAATTGAAGTCTATCATTGCGGCTAAATCACAAAAACAAATGACAAATAAATGCAATATATTAGATTAGGTTACCAAAGAGTTTTATATTCAAAATTTAAAAGAAATTTTTGTTGCCAATGTTTTTAACTAGGTAAAAACTTTCCTGTCACCCTGGTATAAAGGATCTGATGATAAGAACGATGTACATTGAACCAGCGGACTTTGATATCTTGCCTTGTACACTGATTACTGCAAATAACATTTAGGCTTGATTCTAGTTTTGTTGTCGAGAGATCACTTGTTGTAGAATACAATGAGTAATATACACTACCACATACATTCCTGTTGAGATATGATATCAACATTGATGCGAAGCGATGTCTATAATATGGTAAGCGAACAACTCGGCAAAGGATCAAGTCGATCTATTACCGCCTGTTGTAACGTCTATTAGAAACATTAGCTGTTGCCTCATCCTTGGTGAAATTTAGACACTATCGTCTAGGAATGCCGTTTACCATTGTTACTGATTGTAACTCTCTGCGCGCTACGTTTATAAAAAGGGATATGATTCCAAGGGCAGCTCTCTGGTGGAGTCTGATACAGCAGTTCGATTATGATGTGAAGTATAAAGCTAGTTTGTACGTCTGTATTAGAAATTTTAATTGTGTAGGATGATGTGAATAACCCGCGAAGAAGACTTGAAGGAAACATTGTTCTTTTGTGATTATTATTGGATTATTTTGACTTTCTTTTTTGATTGACTTTCTTTTACTCCTTTTTATAGAAGGTGCATATAACGCATTAAGATTTACAAACTGCTAGAAGCGATCTGTAGTGTTGATAGATTTTTAAACTTACCCTTTGTAGGGGTGGCTAATTCGTACAAACACTTTTTCATCACAATCACCAATTTAGTTCAATTAACAATAAGCACAATACAACAAAATAAATTATGTTTCTAAACAATATATTACTAATGAAAACTTCTAAACTTTTGGTTAAGCTGAACATAACAAAGACCAATTTACAGAACAAATTAACTTAAAGAAAATCAGGATAAGTTTGTTAGTGTAATCTGTGGTAGCTTACCACAAAACCGTAGGGAATCCCTGGACTAGAAAAAAATATTGCGTGAATATATTATGACGTCACGCAATACGATTCTTGCCGTTTTTAAATTGAAATCTGGCGATGAGGCAATGCACCAACGTCAAACGTGTTGTAAATCTGGTAAAGAATCATTACTAAATTCATTAGACGGCAATTAAAAAGAAGTAAAAGGCGGTCAACTATCTATTGTGCTTCTTTAAAGAAAAAAAATAATCTCGATTCATTTGAGTATTAAAATCGATGTTCTTTTTTGTTACAATTAACACTCCGGATTGAAGACTTAACATGTTTGCCGCCATTATTTAATTAAGTAAGTGAATTTGTCACCGTACTTACATTAATATTTTATAAATCTTACAAGACGTTGAAAATTTCAAATAAGTTAAAAATCTTGTTTTTTTATGCAAGAAGATGGCAAGCGAGCCCGCGGTTCATCTCATGTTGAACGATAACCACCACCCATGGACATTTGTAATGCATACAGTAGCAAATACGTTGCCACCTTTCAAGAAAGTGGTACTCGGCTACCTCGCTCACCAGACGAAACGTAGACGCATAAGCCTTCACGCCGGTATTCTGTGAAGTCGTGATACTTATTCGAAAAATAAATATATACATAAACAGAACACAGCCAGATGTTAGCCTACAGCAGAGGAGACTAACAAACGGGCAAGAGTTATTTAGTTAGTAGTTTTTAGTGGCGCGTTATACTATTAACAAACAAGAACGTGTAATTATAAAAAGCATATCTACAGCTCCTGGAAACCTTGAAACTTGTAACTAAACATTGTCTTTTCAACTTGTAACTAAACATCACCTAAATTGAGGATTATTATTATCAACAGCACCACAATCGGCGGATTAATCTAGCAACCGACAGTAAAACTGGGCGTAGGTATATAACTCAATGACAAAACGTAAATAATGTCCGAAACGTGATCGATACAATGAACCCGAAACCGTTTATTGTTTCTTAATTACATCAGTGCACTCGGCCCGTAAATCAATTGGCCGCGGGTCACGAACGCAGTATTCAAAATTATGTCGCGCGTCCATTGATTTCGAACGATTAGCGTGCGTGATCGGGCCCGATGCAATAACGCCCGGACCGGACTTGTATACGTAATTTATGTTAATCAACGTGTCATCGACATTCGAAAACGATCTGAATCGCAAACGGGTTTGGCCACTGCTTGCCGCGCGCCCTATGTGGGTTAAGGTCGTACGGATGTTTTGGGTTCGAATGCGGCGAGCGAAAAATGCTTTTGAAAGAGTAATCGTACTCGAATGTTTTGCAGTTGTGCAAACCGCTTTAGTTACTGGACTAATGAGCGTGGTCATGAAATTGTAAATTATGAACAAAACACTTTCCTAATTAAATTACAATGGATTTTATTCATAGTGAAATTGAAGTAAGTGATCACCGCATCACAACAGAATAAGCTAAAATAACGGTGCATGACCGCAGATTGAAAACCGACAATACCCATAACATCAACTGGGTAGGAATCGTGCTATTCCATATTATTTATTTCATCACATGACAAGAAACTATTTACTGCAACACACTATCAGCATTTCTCAATTGAAAGTTTTATCTTCATTCGTCGTTTCTGACTTGTTATTGCTATGGGTCGCAATGACTCATGTGATCTTTAACCTTGAACTGGAGCCACTGATAGAAATACCTAAATTATCTAAAATTAGCTTTGCCGGTGGAGAACTGCCGTTGCATGTTCACGAGCTTTTAACAGAATAAATGCTTAGACATTGATGAAATTTATATCCCATCTAATCGACTTACAATTTAGTACGATAAAAACTGAAATGTTCCACGAGTATTATTTTTCGTGGGAAATTGCTTTGCGGCAACTAATTTACGTATTTTGCCAGCGCGCTGAACACACAATTGATTTGATTACTATGAAAAAATAAGTAATTCATACGATCAAAACTGACTTTTCACCTATACCTATTATTTCATATAATTATGATTCACAGCGATACATACAGAGACTATAATATTATAATATTAGAAGAAAGTTTACTGACGATGTCAAACATAACATTTATAATAAAACGACACTGATGTCACATCATGAACCCAAACAATGGGGACTGGTTTGACTGGACGAAACTGATTTAACTAAGAACTTCTCGTGAATCAAAAAAATAATTTTTTTACATAACTAAAATAAATTATTTTCTGTTCTTATATGATCACTTGCCAGTCATATCAGATAAATATACAACATTATTCTGCGTAGGCATTTATTACCTGACAGCTGATCGACATTTCCGTTGTTTTCATCAGTCGGTAATTGACTTTGGCTACTGTCGTCCGACACATCTGATCTGCTCCCTCCCATTCTTCTAGCTACAAAGTCTTGAGCAGTCGCCACCAGCACCAGTAAAGTTACCGCGACATATAAACACCTGAAATCATATATACTTTTACTTTTCACTTTACTTTAATGTGAGTTGATCAACTTTTTAGGACTAACTATGTATATATATTTTAAACTTGACTAATATTGAATCATTTATATACATAATTTTACCTTAATGGCTTTATTAGTCAAATAAAACGATTGTCAACTACAAGGATTGTATGAAAACTTATGTAAATGAATCACACACAAAATAATGTATATTACATGAGTATCACGATTATGTATGAACGAGAAAAAATCACAATGATAAGAAAAAAATCGCATCTGAATAATTTGCCAAAAAAAAGACAACAACACAAGACTCAAAGAAACATCTTTTCTAAAGTCATTAGCTCCCAATTAGCTACTCAATCCCATCTAATTGTCATCATCATCATTATTGTGTGTTTTATGCTCAGCTGGCCTATATTTCTTTGTTGTCGTCAACATGGCCCGTTTTTGAATGAAAAAGTTTGTCTACTCGTTAGTAATGGTCACAGCGAAGTAGTGAATTCCATTGATAGGTTTGATAGGTGAAAACGAGGAAATTGATATTTTCCCATCAAAGCTAAGCTTATTAAACCTTTACTAGCGATTTAATTTTTTTACCATCTAAATATATATATATATCACAGGTTTCTGGTAAAAGACCAGTAATTGACTTACAATGTCAGTAAAGTTGGTATTTCAAGCCATTCCTCCCACCAAGACTGCTTCCCGTGCATATGGCAGTCCAGCGGGTCGACTTTGACACGTATAGAGACACCACTAGTGTACTGGTAGTGCTTGACCGCATCCCTGATGATTGCCTCGACATCCTTGGGATCGCAGGGTGCAGGAACGCACACGCCCCAGCTCAACGTTGAGAAGCGGGGTACAAAGTGACCTGGCTGAACAAGAAAAAATCAAGGGTTAGTATCCAATTCAAGCAACAACGGTTCTTCTAAAATGAACAGGAAACTATCGAGTAAATTGAACTTATGTCGTAATTTACTTCTCGACACATTGGTAGTTAATAGTACTTAACTACCAATGTGTCGTATGTATATATAATATGCTAGCATATAACGCTTTATACCATCTCGGTTCTTATTAGTAATACTTATCAAAAACGCAGAACTTGTTAAGTTACATAAAACTTTAGGAAAGTTATCGACGTGTTCTACAATTACGATGTTCGAAACCTTGACCTTTTTTTATTTATTTTCTAATTTCTAAAGATGTCATTATCCAAATATAAGGTGAAATTATTTGACAGCAAATAAGAATAATAACATCTAAAAATTGTTGTATTAAAAGTAATAGCTATCCGTAGAAATTACTAAAACAATGCTCATCGTAAAAATATAAAATAATTAAAACAATCATTTCAAGGTAATGAATTTTTATATTATAATATACTCCCAAATCGTCCATGAGAAAAAAAAAATAATGTCTCTAAACGTAATTGAGCAGTTTTAATATTTGCTGTTTCATAGAAAACTATCAACATAGATCAGTCTTTAGTAAACCACTTACTAAAGACTGTGTACTTACAGTCTTTAGTAAGTGGTTTTCTATTAATTCTACTGTTCACATATTACTCACATCATCGATTCTACTCTTGATCAAGCTCTTGGCTTGCGCCAGATGCACGGGGATCTCCAGTTCGGGATGTTCTGCTTTCAGATCTACGTGTGCTAGACAATACTTCCCCTGCACCTTGACCACGCTGCCCGTGTCCAATTGGACTCGTGCGTGGCTCCCTAAGCACTGGTCGAAGTCACCTAGCTGGATACCGTTGCCTTGTAGTATTCCCGAGGGTATCTTGCCCGTAGCGTCGAGCACTGGAAATGAACAAAAGTTTTAAGTACTCAACAGTCCTTTGTGAATGTTTTACTATTCCCTGTGGACGTAAAGACGGTAGTCTTGTCTGTTTTTTTAATATTTGAGTTGATAAAGCTCAATTTACGTGGAATATCGTAGTTATATATTACGTACTTCATATAAAGTAATTGAGATCAGATATAAAAAGCTATATGATAAGTTTTAGTAATAAAAACAATACAATGTGTAAACAAAGCTCTTTGGAAATTATTTATTTTTACTCTTACCGTATACATAATTATATTCTTATAGAATAATAAAATGATTACACGAAATATTGCGTGCTATGACTAAGCATTCATCATTTTTGCGAGATAAAACACCGCGACGGAGAATGACAATATAACTACATACTCGTATATTCTAGTTTTTTTTTAAGTAAGAAGAAGACGAGCATGCTGGAGGTTCGCCTGATGTCAAGGGTTACCCGCTGCCCACGGCAATTGCCATAATTAATAGCCAAATTTTTAATAAACAATACACGTAAAGTTCCAAATGCGCTGCTACCTTAATAAAGTGGGCCCCGGTTACCTCAGTGATCAAATAAAACGCAGAAGTATAATACTTCCACTTCACGCCGGTATTCTGTGAGATCGTGGTACTTACTATTCGTGCAACAACGAAGACTTCTGCGTAGCCCTACCATATTTATATGATCAAATGATAATATAAGAAAATATCTCTTAATTTTAATATTTTGATGCTATATTATTATTTCTAGCTATTATAAGCTAACTAGCGACCTGCCCCGGCTTTGCATGGGTGTAATGTAAAGTAGGTTTATACAGCGTGTCAATAAATAAACACAAGTCTAATGCTACTTACCAATAATCATAAATAAATATAAACGTTAAAAAAATCCATAATCAAAAAAATATTTTACAAATAAACTAATAAGGTGAAAAAGAAACAAAATTTGTAACATCCTATACAACCACAACTGACTGATTCATACATTCAGAGACTTTTTCATTCGTTGCCACAGCGTCGCATTACAAGCCTCTCCTTGTAACAGTATGTTTTGTCTCTTTTAAATTCATTCAACCGATTCATATGCTTTGTGACCATTAAAAATTAACTTTACGTTGCAGTTTTATACGTAAGGGTGTGTTCTAAAATTGTTTGTTTTGGAAAATTGAATATCTCGGTAATTATTGATGTATAAAGAATGTACATGTTTAATACAATTTTAAAAAGTTATCCTCTATATGTGTGTTCATTTATTGTCGCGGTTGTAACGACACGCTGTATGTATACATATAAACCTTTCTCTTGGATCACTATCTAGTAAAAAAAGCGCATCAAGATTCGTTGCGTAGTTTTCAAGATCTATAAGCATTTATAGGGACTTACAGACAGCGGAACGACTTTATTTTATATTATACTAGCGACCTGCCACGGCTTCACACGGGTACAATGTATATACATATACAACGTCCTCTTAAATAACTCTATGTAGTAAAAAAAACCGCATCAAGATCCGTTGCGTAGTTTTAAAGATCTAACCATACATAGGGACAGACAGTCAGCGGACGACTTTGTTTTATACGATGTAATGAAGCTAATAATAAGCATTTTCTTTTCTTTTATAAAGCATTTTCAAAAAAAAATGTTCATTCGTATGGTTTAGAACGATTCTTAATAGGTTCTGTGAAACTTGTCTTAAGTCTTAACTTAAGTCATAGATACATTTAGAAGAAAAGAACTAAAATTCATGTAATACAATGAGTTTGTAACTAATTCTTTTTTAATTTTTTATACTTTACATTGATTGCTAAATTCCCTGAATCAGTGCCAAAACCAATAAAACCAAACATTTATCCGAATAAATAATAACAGTGAATCACACGCACATGTCCTAATTATTTGGGAGATTAAATTGAAATCATTTTAGAACACAGATACACAAAACAGATGTAATTATAAGATTTATTCCGTCACTTACTACTTAACGCCCATAACTTTGTGCCGCGAAGCTGTCTCAAGAGGATTTGTCCATGGCGCCGGCATTCAGGATTTTGAACTCGTGTAAAATTAGAAGCGAATGTTGGTAGGAATGCGTAGAAATCTTCGAATTCACTTTTAAGCAAATTCCGCCTATGTAAAGCTTCCGTTACGTGTCTCAGACGATTGTTTTCCCTGCTCTCGTTCTCCTTGCTTTCGTCAAGGACTTTCTTCGAACTCGCTTCAACCTTAGGCATTTGTTTTACATCTATAGGTGTACTTTCCATTATCATTGCTTCGCTAGTTTTAGTATCTTTTAACTCTAATTGTAATTTCTTTTTATGCATAGTTTCTTTGCCTAAAATTTCACCTGGTAGATCTTTATGTATGTCGGTAACAATTTTTTCCTTCTTTTTTATTGAAAAAGAGTCTGTATTGATTTTCGTGTGATCTCTTTCTTTGGACTTAATATCATTTTTTGCATTATCCTTAACATCTGTTTTTATTGCCGATTGCTTTGTTTTATCACTGCTTTTTTGGGCACCTTTAGGCTTCAATTCATCAATTTTTGCTCTCATTTTTGAATTTTCTTTACTTAGCTGTACCTGATTAAAATCAATATCTTTAAAATGTTTATCCGTTTTCAAGTGTTTTTCTTCACTTTTTCCCTTATCTACTTTTTCATTGTTAAAATCATTCGCATCGTCATCATTGTCGTTCTCATCGTCATCGTCGTTTTCATCTTTGTTCACTACTGACATCTTTAAGGACTTTAACTTTTTGTCATCGGAAACAACATTTTTTGTACTAAACGTGGACTGATCTAGCAAATCATTTTTATCTTTATTGGTAGCACTATCTCCAGCATATTTTTGTTTAAGTTTTTGCTCTTGAACCTTATCACTAGTAGAACTAATAGGTGGCACTTTCTTCTTATCATTTGCTTTCTTTTCCAACTTAATGTCAACGCCCGAAGCCTTTTGTTTTTCTTCCCATTTAGAAGCTAATTGTCTTAGATATATCAAGTTTTCATCAGATTCGTCGTCGTCTATACTGCTAATTTCCTCAACTTCTTCAGGGAATGGGATATTTTTTTCAAATGTCTTTTCATTCCTGGACTTTTTCGTTTCTTGAGCAAATTTTATGTGACCTTCTACCGATTTTTTTCCACTTTCAGCTTTGTAAACGTGAAGCCTTTGATCAAGGTCAAGTTTGTTCACATCACAATCCTCGCATTTCTGCCTCTTTTTTGAGTCCGAAACACTTTCGAGGGAACTTTTTTGAAGATCACGAATGCGGAATGCACTTATCACTGTGGCTAAGAAAGTAACAGATATTATAATTAGAACGAACGCCCATTTGAGTCGCACCATGGCCGACGCGAGACGCTCACGGCGCCATCATAGATCCGACTGATACGTTTTTCAGTTTCGCACAGTGTACTTTATTTGTGTCGCGCACTTCGAGCATATTTCGTTATGGTTTGGATTCTTAATTGATTCCGTTTTAAAACAAATATGTGTTTATGTTCTCGGCTTGCGTGTAATATTTAGAAGTAAAACAACGGTTTCCCGGACAAATTTAATCTAACGTACTGGCACGAGGGCAAGCTTTATGGCATGCGTCCAAGAATAGCGTAAAAATAGTGTAGCCGAGGCGATTGTCCGGCGCACGAGGTGATTTGATGATGGCAGGTTTGATTGCATTTAAAGTTTTTAATACTCCTATCGGTAAACGAAAAAGTTCTGTATCTAATAAATATAAAATTTATTCACGTATAAAATTAATATCATTCATATTATAATTATAACTTATTCGAATAAACTCACGAGCTAATATTATATTAATCTATTTTGTCTGTAATTTTACCATTTTGACATGAAGACTTCTGATCGTTTAAGAATAAATTCAAAACTGAATGTTATTCTTATAAGAATTATTTATTTCAGAAAACTAAGTGCGTCAGTAGAAGTTGGTCTAATAACTATGATTCTTACGCCAAAATGTGATGTATTCAAGTTCAAATTAAAACTCAGATTGATTTTAACCAAAAAAGTAACAGGATTCTACACCAAACATATCTAAAGTGAAACGGGACTCTATTACTAAGAGCGGGGTCTATCTATTTCTCACCAGGCTGTATATGAGGAACCGTGATAGACAGTTGAAATTTTCATAGATGATGTATTTCTTTTGCCTCTATGACAACAAATACAAAAAACGGAATAAAAAATATTTAATTGGGGCTCCTACACAAGTGCCAATTTTTTTGCCCCTTTTTATAGGTACGTGAGTCGGACTCGCACTTGGCCGGTTTTTATACTAGGTCAGTTTAGTAATCTACATGTTTTAATTAGTAATATAGTTTTCTACATGTTTTAATTAGTAATCTATTTGAATAAAACATGAAATGACAAAAATACAGTTAAAATTAATTATTACATTGATAATTTCTTGTATTTACGCGACATTTTATTACACATTTTATTTCAAACAATTTTTTACGGATTTATTGCGTTTATTATTAATTTTAATTCCTAACCCGGGCTACCGTCAGTTTTTAAATTATTATTTTAATGTGCGGTCTATGCAGTAGGTACTAATTGTATCTTGTCTTGCAGTAGCGGTTCGTTTGGGCCTAGATTTTATTGATGATAAAAAGATCCTAAGCTGATGGTAGCACCCAACCCTCATCTCTATTGAAATTAGGATGGTTTTTAATTTAATAGCCTTGCGAATCATCAAGGAATCGGTGTTCTTTTCCAAGGATCTGTGTTCAATCAAACCTCACATTCAGATGTCCAACGCCTCAGACTGTCCCGTGAACATGAACGCTGAAAAGCTTTCGAAAATTCGGACATAAAAATTTAAAAATAAACGCGATAAATCCATAAAAATCGTTTCATTTATAAATATTTCTTTTGTTTGAATTACAAGAAAAATGCAGTTGGTAGATAACTCAATTGATTGTGTCGTAAAATATTATAGAATTTAAACAAATACTAAGAAAAGGGGACTACTTAAGGAAACTTAAAAAAATCGTTTACGTTGGGCTAATTTTGTATGTACCTGATTTTTGACTTTGACTGTGGGTCGTAAAATTAGTTGTCTCGTGTGAGATTCGAACCCACGAACCCCTCCCGCTCGGAAGCCAATTGCTTGGAAAATGCGTCACGTACTCATCTTCATTGCCGTATACATTCTATATTCTAAATATGATGAAATCTGATGGCAAATATTTTTCTGAAATACAATTAATAAGACCGATTTTTTCTTATATCGCTGAGAAAGTAAGCCATTTCTAAACTTAAAAAAATCTTGTTATTTAGAATAAACTTTCCTAATATTTTACTTAATGTTTTGTATGAATGTTGTGTTTCGTTCATCATCATTATCATTTCAGCCTGTTTAAGTCCACTGCTGAACATAGGCCTCCCCCATAGTCACTGGGATAGTCACTGCCACCAAGAACTATCTGGAGACATCTGCATCCATCGACTTCGTCGATGAGGTCGTAGCTCCATCTACTGGGGGGTCGTCCTACACTGCGATGGCCAGTACCAGACTGCCACTCGAGAATCTTTCTTGTATCTTTCGTTATATATTATTAATTTTTCATAGTAATTTTTCACATAATTTTTCATCAATTTATGAATCATTTTCATCTAATTTTATAGTATATCACGATTGTTTTTGACGGAATGCAATAGCCTTCACCTTTGTAGTTACTTCTAATTTTTATCCCATCATTTTCCTCTTAAATTTTCAGACAAAAATTCTGGTATGGTTTTGTATTTTGACTTAAATTATTTAAAAATGATAAAAATATAAAACAATCAACCAGTTTAATTTGTGGTTTACCTGTGATATGTTAGTCCTTGACATTCCGTCCCAAAATCCACTCTATTGGTATGTTAAACGCTCAGATTAGTCTGCGCTCTGATGTTATTTAATTTATTTAACAATATACTCTGTATTTTACTATTTTTTAGATTTCATTCCGTGTAATTTTCATTATATACACTTTACAGTGCAGTATCTGTGTAGTGCTTGACTTGTTACAAAGAATTTCTATATTGTATTATGTTTCATAGTAAATTTAAAAACTTAACTGCATAGTCCTAAAGTCAGGCATAAATATATAATTAAACAAAAAATAATTGTCCAATTGATAAAGTAACATTAAGTGAATCGCCTTGGTACTATAATCAATGAACTCAACAGTTTTTTCCGAGAAGTTGGCCTTAAGCAGAACATGTACAAGATGACGATCGTGTCTAATGCACATTCCAATGCTATTTCGGTTGTTGTCGAGAGCATTGTGTTCGAACTTATTGACTAAAATGTTGACCTAGGAAAGTTAATCTGGTTTGGTAAGTCCAACTTCGAGGCAGTGGTCAATCTGCAATTCATACTCGGGTGGCAGATTCAGGAAATTTCTGCATATCTTCGTATACAACATTAAGGATGTTTTAAGATTAAATACTTAAATTGTTAATTATAGATAAGGCAATTCTAAAAACAAAAAACTCGGCGCTGCTAGGTTAGAACGTGCCCCTTCCGGTTTCGCGACCAGACGCTTTACCAACTGAGCTAAGCGGCCGATGAACTAACGTCGCAATCTTGACATCAATTAAAATCCTTTCTATTGGCAATTTTTTAGCAACACAAAACGGCGCAAAGCGCCAAGCATTCTTTTCGAATCTCGCAGAGCCAGAAGTTCATTTATCTGCAAAAAATCACAATCCAAAGTTTCATCTGGGTGCACTAAAAATTAAAATTAATCCTAAAACTAAAATCTTACATTCTTATAGAATACCATATGTGTTGTCAGGTCATCACTGGCAACACATCACTGAACTGTCGTGTGAGGTAACTCAAAGTCACTCAGCGAGCTATGGAGCGGGCTATGGAGTAATTCTCTGCGTGACGACCAGTCCAAGTTTTCGGAAGTCGATGGATACAGATGGCTCATGATCTTGATTCTTGGCATTCTGTGTGTAAGCCGGCTTATTGTTCAGCAGTGGGCTTAAACAGTCTGAAATTATGATGTATATTTTGTGCTCGTTCTTTTGAATTTATTCCTATCAAAAAGTAATCAAATCTAAGGAAGTAGGCATATATCAGTTGAAGTACCGTAAATAACTAAGTACGCACCTCTGTCACATTTGGATTCCAATACATCAGTCCACACTAATGCCCAGATTTTCAATTAAAAGCAGACGAATTCGTTTTAAAGTTATAAGTTCAACCCGTTTCAATCGTGTCATAGAACGAAAGCAAACAATAGTAGGCATCTGCCAAAACTAACAACATATTACAATTTCCTTGTTTTTTCTTATAAAATATGAGCTATTTCAAATACATATATACAGGGCGCTGTATCATAGTAGCAGTATAGATATGGTGATGACAAAACAAGAATATTCCGAATATGACCACAATCGATATTGACTGCATTGCCGGGCACACAGTATTGATGCACAATGGTCAGATTTTTTTGTCACGAACGGGCTATTGCTTGTCTGACAATAAAAATATGATTTATAAGTATAACATACCGTAACCCAAAACAGTATTATATTCGATTTCATTTTTCACGCATTTCTCTCGATTTCTAAAATTTTTTGTACATATCACTTTTCAATTTGGCTGTACATTGAGATTCTTTATTCTATTTTTAAACATGAAAAAACAAGTACATACATCACCCAGGCAAAGGTGAGAGAGTCATCGAATGTATTGCGAGATGCAAGTTGGGTCGTTTGACGCCCTTGCGATGGCGCAATCACGGTCCTGACTATATTCTCATACTAGCCTTGCCACGTGGCTTAAAACCCACTAAATTCGAATCCACCATACACATATTGATACACACACACACGTCGTTACGTTAAAGTAAGAACCGAGGAGCTTTCGAAGTTCGTAAAAGAGTCAATATTGAAATTTGAAATTATAATATCCGTAAATATTAAACTTCAGGGATATCTACTAAGATTTTTGAATGGGTCTAAAGTAAGTATCAAAGATCTTCAATCGCAAAATGTCTCAGAACTAACCTCCAGCTTACACTTATTACGTTACAAAAGCGAGCACTTGATATTAAGTGATAACCGTCGCCCATGGACATTTGCAACACCCGTAGGGTTGCAGGAGCGTTGACACCTTTTCAGTAAAGTGGGCCCCGACTGCCCCACTCACCAGATGAATGTATGTATGACACTTCCACTTCCCGCTGATCTCCTGTGAGATCGTGGCGCTCACCTGGACGGACCTGCCCATTCGTGCAACAGCCAAAGCTGTTGCGTGCCCCACCAAGAGACCTTACCCTATCGTAAGAGTCAATTAGGCAATTAGTTATTCACGTCTTCAT